AAGTACGAATACACGAATATTCGTATTCGCCGAATACGTACCCTAATTCCTGAATACTCTTCATTGAAATTTGACAAATTTATATCTATTTATATCAAATTGGATACAAAGAGACATTTCAGTTTATTATATCTAAGTGAAATGTTCCACTTTAAATGAAACAGGGGTGAAGTATCTAAACTTCTGAAAGCCTCAATCCGAGTGATCACCACCGAGAATTGAACCAGGATCGTACTGATTCACTCATCGATACGCATTCTGATGCAAATTAGACGCACGGACACCTAAGCTAATGAAGCAAATTTGCCCCCTATTTTGATACTTTTTACTATAAATAAATTGAAGTAATAATGCTGTGACTACAATTGCCAAAGTTTGAGACCTTTAAACCTCGAAAGCATCAACCATTTCCTTCGTTTAAATATTTGTTCCTTCATTAAACTATGTGCAAGCTTTTAAAATTATTATTCGGTTGAAAAATTTATAAATTAAATGATTTATAAGGTGACATCGCATGTCATAACATTCATAGTTGCGAAGTCTTTCATAGTAACAACCATGAAATTGGAAACTTTTCTGGTTATAGTTTTTATTTTGATCTTCGTCAAATGTTCTGACCAAGCAGTTAAATTTTTGAATTGTGTTATCTTAATTGTAAATTACAATTTCTTTTTTTATTGTTCACAGGATCCCATGAAAATAATTGTTAGCAAAGTGGAAGAAACTCATAACAAGTATATGCTTGACTTCAAACATTCTTTAAGAATTACTCAAAATTTCACAAATTATATCAGCATTAATGTCTCATTGTTTGTGAAATTAGACTCAACGTACTTGATTGAAGATTGATGCCATACGCAATAACCAAAATCAAAATTGTTATTGTAGTCGACATAAAAACAAAGATCAAAGGGGAAATGGTTGATTTAGGCAATTTGACGATTCATTATGAAGTTGAAGCTCTTGAAATAGTAAACATTGAATGAGGAGAAGTTAATTTTAATTTCTTGATAATTTTTATTTCAAAATTTTGATAACATATAT